TCACATAATGTTTTTTCAGGTTTGTTGAATCCTCGTCTCTCATCTTTTTGTTGTATTTACCTCCGTGATTTGTTCTTGACACCTGATGAAGATCGCTTGCGTTGTGATCGAAACGTCGTGATTGTTTTTTGTATTAATATAATTTTATTGTATTTCTACATACGTGACTTTACCGAAAAAAAACAATGAGTAATTTTATGCAGCCACGAAAGCTTTAATACTTTATTATTGTATACTTGGAGTTTGAGTATATTCCCCATTGTGGCGTGGATTTTTCTCCGGGACCTCTGGGTTTCCCTCCACATTAAGAATCACCACGCATCTCGAGTAGTTGGCTGAGTTTTATTTCCACGTGATGATGACCCACTTGGTTGATCTATCATTTGTGGCCGGGTCGCTTCTGAAAAAGATCTCGGTGAGCCTTACCTAATAACATAAATAGTCGGTCAGTTAGCGTCTTGAGCCACGAACCTGAAGACCCGAGTTTGATTCCAAGCCACTGCAAACATTATACTGCGTAACAAAAATAATATTTTTTTGTTCCTGGGTAGTAAGTGTTATTTTCTAATTGCTTATACCTCAAAAGTACAGAACGTGGCTATTATTCCCCACAAACTTTGCTTTTGTGACCAGGACGGTGATATTTTGAAATGTACCGATTTTCAATGTGAAAACGTGGTGTGCATTTGTGTCATTCCTTCACACAAAGTCCTGATCACAAAAGCAAAGTTTGTGGGGAATAATAACAATTTTCTATACTTTTGAAGCATAATCCATTAGAAAATAACACTTACTACCCAGGAACAAAAATCGTGTTAGATAGTGAATTATCGGTGGCGAGTAATATCCGACCCAGTCCTGTATCACCATCGTGGTGAAGTATGGTTACCACATCGGGGAGGCTTCACAAGCCAAAGAGAGAACGCACCTGGGAGCACGTCCATCGGGGAGATCGAGTGATTAAATCAGCGCGCGTGAGTGTGCAGGTGGTTATTGGATCGTTATATCGCTGGACCCGGATTCGATCCCTTCTCACGGCCAACACCAATGGGAATTATCTGGACCTGTCCTGGGCCTCCCCTGGTGCGGGGTGTAAACATCGCCACTCGGGAGACAAAGGCGGTCGGGTGCGGGGCTGGCCAACCCCTCCCCCCCCCGTGTGCTCTCCCGACATTCACAGGTGCTCGCTAGCAGCACTTGCTCCAAGTGCTCACGCAGGGCCGTGCACGATGGCAACGGGTTGCGGCGGCATTCGTCCAGCAGTTGATTTAACCATGGCTGCTGATGACGACGACGACGATGAAACCACCCCATAATTTAGAACGTAATTGTTTTGTTTGTTCGCCACAGTCGTGAACAAGAATGCATTCTCTTGCCCTTGGCAGTAGGGAAAAAAAAACACACACACAAGAACAGGTTGACGTCGATCCAGGTGAAGAGTCACAAGACTGGCCAACACCAGAGGGCCTCCGTTTGGCTTCCCGCTAATTACGAACATTAGAGGCGGGCGAGAAATGCCATCGACGTCGGCAGCCAGAAAGTAAAATGTGCCAAGACAAAGCAACCCCCTCCCGTCTCCTGTGCTGCTGCTGTTGTTGGCGTTGGGAGATAATGGGGCAGCTGGCGGGGTCCAAATCCACATCGTTCGATGCGCCTGAGAGAGGTTCTGATTTGAGAGGCTCTTAGGTCCTCCTAAGTGTTCGTTCTGGTTGTGGCCAAGAAAGCGGAGGCAGTGCTGGTGTGGTCCTTGGTTCGAACGCTGCGTCTGGGTGTCTTTGCCTTATGTTCAGGTTAATAACGGCAGTAACAGGCTCATAATCTGTGTGGTCGAGACACCGACCCGGTGCTGGTTGGAACCTGGGTTTGAGCCCCGGGTCTGAGTGTCTCTGTAATGCATCATAAGGGCCGTATCAGAATTTTTGATGAAGATCATCTACATGTTTGTGCCAGCAGTCTCACGTTCGTATTTTCGTTGCCATCATGCTCCTTGTCACTTTTTCATTTTTTGTAATTTGCCGTTCAGCGAACCGTCACAAAATCAACGTGGATTGAAGCGGCAACTGCAGTGAGGAGTGGGAGCACGCAGGCGTGAACACTCGAAGCTCGGCACAGACGGATTCACTCCACAGACTCAACCCCGCGGGTGAACAAAACCTAACCGTGGACCGAATCCACTGGGGTAGGGCCATCTCGTGGTAGCTCGCAGCACTCACAGCCGGCTTCCACACCTTTTGCCACTCTCACAGCCTTCATGCCACCCCCCCCCCCCCCCCCCCCCCCCAGTTTTGCTAACTAGCCAAAACTGAACATTTGTGAAAAGAGCTTTATAGCTCATCGGATTCCTCCTCCAGTCTAAATAAAGTTTCTGATGTCACCCACCCAAACCTGTCTCTTTCTCTCCGCTTTTTAGCGCTCCCCCCTCTCGCTCCCCTCTCGCTTCGAGAATCGTGGCGCTACTCACGCCGAGAGGCTGGCACGATTGGGTAATCGGTGCCTGCAAACGGACGGGTGCTGAAGCTCGGTTAGAACAACAAATACGGTGGGCATTAGCCGCACACGCGGAATTGTTGAATTCGCCCTCAAACGAGAATCACGTTGCTTTCTTGCCATGAGGGGTTTTACGTAAAAAAAAGGGGCACATATATTGTTAAAAAAACTATTGTCAGTGTTTTTACATATTTAACTTGTTTTACATTTCCCCCATGAATCCCCCCGAACAGACATGCAAGTGGAAGATATTGAGCCTAATTCATTTTCTGGCGTAAAACTGAGTTTCCGCCAATGTTGGGCAGAGAGGAACTGGCAAATCACCCAGCGTGCCTTGCCAATTTGGCCATTTGTCAGCTGAGATTCGTCGTACAAGCCATTTCCATAGAACAGACTCACTGTAGCAAGCAATGGCTTTAAATGCGCACTCACAAAAAGATAAAGATCCCCCGTATAACCTGCAACATACTGTTGGTGCAAGTGCTGCTAGCGAAAAGCACCGATGAAAGCTGGCACGGCACACGAGAGGGTGGGTGGTCAGCACCACGCCCGGTCGCCTTGTTCACACACCGCACCAGGCATGGTCGACCTAGAGGAGGCCCAGGACCGGTTCAGATAATCGTCACTAGTGTTGGCCGTGAGCGGGAATCGAACGCGGGTTACCAGGTTCGTCGCGCAGCGCGCTAACGGCTCAACCACCGCTCCGCACAACACAAAGACAAACACACACGCGCACACACACACACGAATGCGAAGTGACCAGGTGGCCTCAGGGGTCAGGCGCACTGAGCCAGCACCGTTGCGACCCTGAGTACCGATCTGCTTTTCGGCCGCTAGTGATTAAACCGAGTCCCCGAGTGGAGCGAGTTGATGGTGTCAGCCCGGTCATGATTGACTGCACAAAACAATCACATTAAGTTTGGTTTTCACTTAATTTGGTTTAAAAAAAAATGTTTTCTAGCTCTGAAAATTAAACATATCGGTTGTTGCCGTCATGCCATGAATATTTCCTCCGTAACCAGGCATGAGGAAATGTGCAGTACCTCCCCCCATCCCACCCCGATATGTTGTTTACAAAGGTCTCTTGAAGGGATAGGTGTCTCACAAGTAGTTCTTTGATATTTGCTTCCACGGGACTCTTCTCTTAATGCATTCCACGCGTGCGTCAAATTCGCCAAAGCCATGCGGTGGCTTTCGTAGCCCTCCGATGAGCTGAGTCGGTGGGCAGCAATCACCCGGACGTGACGTTGTTTGTACGCTGCCGCGTCCGCAGTGTGGCTTGTCATGAAGACTCCCGGCCGTGGAGGATGGCCGCACACACAGAGACCTCGCTCTGTGTCCAGCATTTGTCTAGCAAAGGCCCGCCAGCGGCGTGGCAGGTTGGAGCCATGCGGACAGACAGACAGACTGACTTGACTGTAGGATTCGCGATTGGTTCTCTTAGCAAACGCAGCATTGCACCAATGGTACAATCATGCTACGATGACATTAATTTAAGTGTGTTTGTATTCTGCTTATAGCTCAAGAGGCAAAAGTGGCCCAACGACGTGGATAACACCAGCGTGAGTCGATCTGAAAAGCGGGGGGCGAAACTGTTTAACGCAGCGTTTGCGTGGTGGCGATTACACGCAAGGGTGCACTGCTATTGAAGGGTGTGAGTGGTATACAATATATTTCAAATCATCGGTCGACACTGCTTACGGATTTATCATGGACATCCTGCGGACAATGACGATGTTTTTTTTTGCCGGTCATTGCGCGTTTAACTTGGGAACCCACATCAGCGCAGGCACGAGGCCCTGCGCACGTGGTCACAGCTGAGGCGGATTACATTCAAATATAGGACACATTTTTATTTTAAATACAAAGTAGTGAAAAGGCACGTGCGCGCGTGATTTGTTTTTTTTTCCACAGGAGTTTTTAATTGGCAGTATTGAAGCCAATAAGTAGCTGTCAGAGGCAGAATCCATTTGAAAATGAGCAAATTGCCCCTTTTTTGCGATGGTTTTTGTCTTTCAAAAAATAGTTGGGCAACCTTTTGATCAATTTAACAGAGTCGTAAATAACACGGTGGACTTAAAAGGACAGCGACTATACATGCATCAGGTTACATTCCTTCACAGCACACGAACAGAGCGAGCAGTAGAGAGATGGAGTGTGTGATGCTGCACGCCTTCATGGGGCGCCGATGAGAATAACATTTGAAGAAAATGCTTTCTGATGACCAATTTATAAATTGGGCGCGTGAATAGCTGCCAGCGAGTGCAGCATCGTCAATGTGTCTGCTTTGCCCCGATCAATTCGGTCGCTGCTCCATTGTAGCAGTGTCCCGAATAGCAAGACGACTTTATACTGAACAGTCGTTAATATTGGATCGTCTTTACGAAAGCAATCGCCTCCCCTCCCCCAGTTACAGACGGACGGGCGGACGGAGATGATGCATCAACGCTTTCAACCCAAGTCGGGCCATGCAAATGAGTGTGCGCACGAGTCATCATCATCATCCGGCGTACCGTCCCGGAGTCGTTAGCCGAAGCGGACGCGCTGTCCCTGTCCCCGTGGCGATTTCACACCTGGGGGCGTAAACACAAACACACACGTGGCGGAGGGCGGGAGGGGGGACAGGGGGGGGCAGAGGTCACCACTAATGAGGGACAGAGCCGGCAAACAACAGCGCCTCCACAAGTACAGAGGGAGGCAGGTTATGTGTGTCAGCGCATTGTCTGATGATGATGACGACGTCGACGATTGTGAATCCGGCCAAGTGCGAATCCCAGCCATGGCCACCAGCATCGGTGGTGAATACCTCAACCGGTCTGGGGGCTCTCATAGGTCGACTCAGCTTTAAATGAGTGCCTGGTGCCATGTGTAAACATCACGACCGAGGAGACAAAAACGGCCGGGCGAGGCCGCACCACTCCCTCCTCCGCTGTGCTGGCCTGTATAGGTGCTCGCTAATAACAGGCGTCCCGTTTTCCTCTCTCGGCTCAAGCAGTGTCTCTGATGGCGTCTGTCCCCGATGGCGTGTGTTTATTTAGTACGATCATAATTGCATTCTCCGTGTGTATGTTTAGCATCCTCTACAGTATTTATGTAAAAAATTTAATCTATAATGATAATGTTCTTTGGGTCTTTCGGTAAAGCCACGTAGACAGAAAAAAATAACAAAAAATATCGACGTTTCGATCGCAACACAAGCGGTCGTCTTCAGGAAAAAGGGGGGTTAGCTTCTAAAGACAACTGCTTTTAAAGGTTTGAAATGGGCGTAGCCCAAATGTCAGCAGCCAATGCGAGTGGTGGGCAGCGACCGCGGCGGCGATCGTAATGTATGTTTCCATTCCATTGCGGTATTTAGGCCTCCCCATGCCGTGAAGGTCAAGGGGTCAGTGGTGCGTTGGTGAAGTTGGAGGCGGGGGTCCAGGCCAGGACGGGTTCTACATATTTTTATTATTCCCAAACGATGGCGAGATTTATAGTGCAGTGAGCAAACAACTACGGCAACTCTCTGATTGCAATAACAATAAAAAACAAATTACGATTGGTGATTACAATGATGATGGCGGTGGTCATGGCGATGATGTTATGATTAAGTAAAAGCCATTCGGGACATCACACATTTGACAGATGGTGGCGATGCTGCTGCTGATGATGATATTTTATCAGTAATCCCTCACTGAGTCAATTCATTTTGCAGAGAGAGTCTGCTTCACCCCCCCACCCCCCAAGAACAAAAAAGCCCCACAAACATTTTGGCTACGAATAATTTTGCTGCATAGTCACGGGAGGTAAAAAAAAAATGGGAAGCGTCTCAAGAAAAAGAAACACTCATTCAGACGTGGGTGTGGAACGCGCCTCTATCAAATCAAAGTGGTCTCACGAGCCTACTTGCTGTACTGCCCCCTAGCGGCAACGTCTCGCCGCCTTGCGTGCACCAGCCCCCGCATCTCCAAAGCGAATGTCGACAACCATCGAGAGAGAGAGATAGAGAGAGAGAGATGACGTTAGGAGATTAACGATCGAAGGCGACCGGCAGGCAAATGATGACGATTAAAGACGAGACGAGAGGTGCGGGCGCCGTCGACGATTTACGTTGCATGCGATCAAAAAAGCCCGCGACGTTTGACCGTAGCGGGGAACAGAAGGACTCGCCTTTAAACATTTTTACGCGAAACGCGAGCAGCTAAAACATTAACGGGGCGACGGCGAAGACGGTGAGGAGCATTGTGATATTAGCCCCCCCCCCCAACTCACCCCCCCCCCAAAAATAATAATTTAAAATTCCCCACAAGAGTCGTGCAGTGTGGTGTTCATGTGTACGAATATCATCATTAACACAAGGACTTCAAGCAACCTTTTTTTTACCTTTCAATTATTTCGCGGTAATTGCCCTCCCGGCTAGGAACGCGCGCAAACAGCATTTATGAGACGTCCGTCTGCAGCTCGGCGGCAGATATGAAACAACAGACAGCTGCGCTCCGTTAAATACGTCTCCATTGGGAGGGCTTAATTGGTTAAGCAGCTGATGGTGAAGCCTCTTCTGCAGCCTGTGCCCCTCTCTCTTTCTCTGCCCTGAAAGCCAGACCCCCAACCCTCGCCACCACCCCGAACGCAACAAACAAAACCACTGCAGCCCTCGCTGTATCCTTCTCGCCGCTCCCGTACAACGTGGCAGATGCCCCCATCACGCACATCGGTCATTTTAATTCATGTTTACCTTCCCCCTCCCAAGTCCTATCCTCTCCTCCTCCCCTCCCCCCCGAAATGTCACCCCGATTGTGCCCTCGGCATCATTGTGACGAGACGAGGACTCTCTCGAAGGGCGGTGCATCTCTTCCCTGCGTGTTAGGAGAACGGCCCACGGAAGCGGATGTCAAAGAGCTACGGCTCAGTGACCTCTGCTGGTCCAACACGGTGGTAGAGAGGGAACGCACCTTCTCGCCCGCTCTGCCACTGAGAACAATATCGGTCGCACTCTGCAGGAATGGATTCAGCAATCCACTACCGTGCCACAATCCCCCTTGCAACCTCAGACATCACACTTCTCGCGAGACCGCCTGGTATTTTTAACCAGTCTCAATGCCTATTCCCAAACAGGCTCACAACCCGCTTAGCTTCGGAGATCTGAAAACGTCGGGCGAATTGAGGGCAATTTGTCCTTTGAATTCTCACAGAATTTCAATTTTATTAAATTATTAAACAATAAAATAACGCAGTATATTGCTTGTAATTCCTGTATATGAGGCACACATAAAGATTACAATTTAAGCAAAGGAAGTGTCTGCTTGCGAAGGACTTTAATTTGCCTCGCTAATTAGCCAAGGGAGAATTTTAATTGCGTAGGCCATTAAATTATTGTCTGTGCCACAATGTCCAATTTGCTTAGCAATGGATTAACCTCGCAGTCGTCCACTCTATAATAGAGTGAATGTTGACTCAGATGTATATACCCACCGTGTTCTATGAGTTACACGATGCACTCATTTCCCCTGTATTATCAAGCAATAGCTGGGAATGTGGCTTATAACCCAGTTGGTGTGCGCGTGCGTGTGTGTGAGAGAGAGAAACCAGATCTGTTGAACTTTATTGACACCGGGCACACGTTTTTACTGTTCGTCTTAATTTCTGGAGCATCTTCTAATCCAGAGAATACGGTATTCATGTAATATGTAGGTCCACCCCCGTAGGCATGTAACAATGTATTTAAAGATTAAAATCGATTTTTTTTTGGCACGCGATACATGAATGAAATCGTGCGTGTCAGAATAGATCATGGAATATTTATGCAAATATTTTTGGGATTATTAGACAACAATCCAACAGGATGGCCCAGCGGTCGAGTGAGCGGCACGCAACCAGAAGTTCGAGAGTTCACATCCCGTTCATGGCAGGGGGAGGGGGGGGGTGAGAGGGGTCGAGTCAGCCCATCATATTTCGGGGGTCGATAAGATGAGTACCACTTTGTGAGAAAGTTCACAGTTGGTTGTCCTATGGATACATTTTCCCCCACCTTAGAAAAGTGGGATTTCATATCTCACGCTGGCTCATCGAATCGCGAGTGCGAGTGAATGGTTCACGCGCGTTAAATCTGTTTGTGCTGCACACATTGTACGCACGGCACGCGGTGGTGCCTCCGCAGTGGATGGAGGATACAGCTCAATAGCGAGGTCAGGGGTCACCTCAGCTCATCGTACATACAGGACCAATAAAGCAAGTAACAATGAAGTGGAATGCAATCGGGTTGGCAGTGGAAACCTCGTCCATTGGACTGTTAAATAAACGTGTGAGATTGGGAGCAACTGCTGTGTGCTTTACTTCACTTCCCTTTGGTGCATTTCGCGCGACCGAGTGAGAACACAAGACGATCAGGATATGAGTCTCATTTGCTAAGAGTGACCTGGGCCGCCAGGTGACTCTGTGAGTTATACGACGCGATAGTGTCCCCCCGTAGTTTCAAGCGAAGCATGGGTGGTCACCAAAATGTCAACAACAGCAACAATTAATAACGCAGCGCGGACAATCGACGCAAAACGCCGAGCAGAAACCACCCCGCCACATGAAAGCAATCAAAAGGACGGGCACGAAACACCTACGAGCGTTTAAATCAAATCAAATGTCCCGTAACACGTTGACCTCGGTGTTAAACTAGCGTGTAAAATTCACGGCCAAAAAAAAATGTGTTTGCTTTGATGCCATTGATGCCACGGCGTAGTTGGGGAGGGAGGGAGGGGGAGAGGGAGGGGGAGAGCCACCAGCAGGGTCCCTCCCCTCTCCGAACTGCGGTCGTACGAAGCACGTGGGGCCCCCCTCACCACGAGGATTCTCCGCTGCAAGGCCCCCTCGCGATACAACTCGCGACGGGAGAAAGGTCGCCCCAGGAGGCGAGATGCACTCTGACCACCCAACCCCCCACCCGACTCCCCACCCAACCCCAACCACCCAACCCCAACCACCCAACCCCAACCACCAAACCCCAACCACCCAACCACCCAACCCCAACCACCCAACCCCAACCACCCAACCCCAACCACCCAACCCCAACCACCCAACCCCAACCACCAAACCCCAACCACCCAACCCCCAACCACCCAACCACCCAACCCCCCACCCAACCCCCCACCCAACCCAACCCCACCTGACCCCCCACCTACCCCCCCACCTACTCCCCCACCTACCCCCCCACCTACCCCCCCACCCAACCCCCCGCCCAACCCCAACCTCCCAACCCCCCACCCAACCCCCCACCTACCCCCCCACCCAACCCCAACCACCAAACCCCAACCACCCAACTCCCCACCCAACCCCACCTAACCCCCTACCCAACCCCCCACCCAACCCCCCACCTAACCCCCTACCCAACCCGCCACCCAACCCCCCACATAACCCCGCCCACCCCCACCTCCGCTTGCCACAATGCAAGCGTCTCACCGCGAAGGCCGCTAATTGTATCCCGAGCTGCCACTGCGGGGCCGCGATGGGTTAGGGGGACTCGCACGGCTACTCACGTTTACATTTGCATCGATAAGCCCTTCATGACGACACTGCAAGCAGTGTTTGAATAAATATTAGGGGGGGG